TCTCTCTCTCTCTCTTATTTTCAAGACAGGGTTTCTCTGTGTAGCTTTGGAGCCTGTCCTGGAACTCATTTTGTAGACCAGGCTGGCCACAAGCTCACAGAGATCTGCCTGCCTCTGCCTCCTAAGTGCTGGGATTAAAGGTGTATGCCACCACTGGGCTCAAACCTGTGCTCTTCCACACAAAGCATGCCTGACTTAGTCTTGTGAGTTGAAATGGCTGCAGGGCTCTCACCAGAAACTCAGCTGATTCCAGTGACACACTCTTGGATTTCTGGAACTGGAAGCCACACATTTTTTCTTGTAAAGCACCCAGACTCCAGTATTTTGTGGTAGCAATGCAACACACACCAAGAAACAAGCACTAAAGAAGTGATTTAGAATTCAGTGGCCCTTGCTCCAAGTGTTCCGCCAAGGTGAGCTATAGCCTTCAACTACCTGCCCCATTGATCTCAAACCTACTTAACTACATAGGCAACGCTGGTCATCAGCGTCGTAGCCAGGATCAGTTGGAGACCTCCTATCCAGGCTGTCATGGAAAGCTCACCCGCCGCTTATTACATTTATCTGATGGACTGCAGGGCATTCACACCTGCAGGACACCACCTCCACATGCTCCAGCGAGTATATGGACAACCCAGATTGGGTTCAGTATTTTCTTCTTTTTCTCTTGCTTTGCTTTGGGGGAGGTCACAAGGGTAGGGGGTGGACCTAGGAAGACTGGGAAGTGAATGTGATCGGGTGCATTTTTCAAAATTTTCAAATAATAATCAATAAAAATGTTAGGTTAATCAAAAGTATAGTTAAAAAATAAATTGAATTTGAAAAAAGTGTTTAAATTTGAATTCTGCTCCGTTTTCTCTTTTAAATTAATAATTGTTTTATCATATTTATTATGTATCTATGTTAGTGCCCTGTAAGGTCCAAGGACATTCTGGGGGAATCTGCTCTCTCCTTCTACCATGTAGGTCCCAGGGACTGAACTCAGGTCCTCAGGCTTAGCAGCAAGCACCCCTACTCACTGAGCAGCTTCTCTGGCCCATTCCATTGTCTCTGGGAAACCAAATATACATACATACATACATACATACATACATACATACATACATACATGCATGCTACACTTTTTTCTTTTTAATGTGGAGCACTTCACAAATTTGGCTGTCATCCTCGCAAAGGGGTCATGCTAATCTTTTCTGTATCGCTCCAGTTTTAGTATATGTGCTGCCAAAGTCAGCACTATGCTACACTTCTTAGTAATTATCTCTTAGGTCAGGGATTCTGTTTAGATGTTTCTCAGTTACTGTCCTCTTTTTCATGTAAAGTGATTAGCATTGACTATTGAGTTCAAAGTTCCACCTTGGCTCCACTCTTCCCCCTCTAAACCCAGCCTCCCAGAGAAACCGCTGGAAGCCCAGTTCCTCTGGTGGTGGCCCAAGACCCCACCCAAAAGCTTACCATAGCAGGAACCACTTTAGGGCACATCATCACCCTGTGCCCCTACGGGTATTTAAACCACCCCCTTTAGAACAGCCATGTGTTTACTCTCCTGCTCCCTTTCCCGAGAGTCACCCAGGAATGCTTTGTTCAGATTAAACCTGGTCCTTTAAATTTAATTCAGCTGGATTTGGCTTGCTGTGTCCGCAGAGAAACCTCCTATTGGGTTACTAAAAATACCTATCATTGACATTTTATTTGCTCTCTTATTCTTCATGACTCAGTCAGTTGTTAATTCTATCCAGTAATATTTTTATTTCACATAGGTACTTTTTGGCTCGTTTTCTTTTTGAGATGGGGTTTTGCTATGTAACCCACAACAGCCCTACCTTGGCTTAGTGAGTGCTGGGATTATAAATCTGTCCCATTACACCTGGTTCTCAAACACATGTTTTATTTATTCATTTTTTGGAGACTGGTCTTCTATGTAGCACAGGCTGGTCTTAAACTCACTCTGTAGTCCAGAATGTCCAAGAACCCCTGCCTCAACCACCCAAGTGCTGAAATTACAGACATGCACCATTATGCCTAGCCCAAATACATGCTTTCAAGTTCTAGAATGTCAATTGTTTTTGTAATTTTTCTTACTTAGCTAAGAATTTCTACTTGTTCATTCATTTTGACAATGTTTTCTAGTAAATCTGTTAAAGTCCTTGTTTATCTTCTCTAAAATCTTTTTTTTTCTTTGTTTTCTTTTTCTTTTTTGGTTTTTCAAGGTAGGGGTTCTCTGTGTAGCCTTGATTGTCCTGGAAGTCACTCTGTAGACTAGGCTGGCCTTGAACTCACAGAGATCCAGCTGCCTCTGCTTCCCAAGTGCTGGGACTAAAGGCGTGCTCCACCACTGCCCGGCTAGCTCTAAAATCTTATTCACAGATTTTCTGAATGAAACAGCACAATGGCTCAAAGACAAGTCTATTAGTCAGTGTGATGGCTTAAATAAGAATGCCCCCACATTGGCTTTCATATTTGGATCCTTAGTCTTCAGGGACTGGCACTATTTGAGAAGGTGTGGCCTTGTTGGAGTAAGTGTGTCACTCACCTTTCCTGCTGCCTGTGGATTAGAATACAGCTCTCAGCTATTTCTCCAGCACCATGTCTGCCTGCACACCTCCAGGTTCCCTGCCACAACGATGATAGACTAAAGCTCTGAAACTGTAAGCCAGTCCCAACTAAATGCTTTCTTTTATAAGAGTTGCCTTGGTTATGGTGTCTCTTCAGATCAATAGAACAGTGACTGGGACACTTAGGGTTTGCTAGAAGAACAGAACCAATGGGATGAACACACACAATTCTATCAATTGTGCTTCTTTAGAGAACCCTGACTAATGCATCTCCCAATGGTGCAACAGTGGCACTTTTACCTTGGGGTAATCAACTGCTGTCTAATTGGATTTAAGGCCTGCTCAATAAAGGGAGTTCATTCTGTAAGCCCAACTGTGACTGCATCGGTCATAGACTGTTGAGGAAAACCTCCTGGTACTATTTCTCCTAAAGCAATCTAATTTCTAAGTATATCGTCAATGTGTGTCCTTATACCATAGATAAATGTAGCTCACACCACTCATCAAATTAGCTTCCTTCTTCAACAGATGGTGGTTACTACAGAGATGCACAATGGCCAAAACCCAGCCCCAGCCCCAGTCCCAACCGCTCTACTTAACACTCAGGGAACTTCATGGGAGATGGGGTAGAAAGATTGTAAGAGCCAGAGAACTGCAATGCCTGCTTCAAGATAAATGTCTTCTAGATATGACAGGGAAGTTGGTCCATGAGATCAAAATAGTGTGGTCGCCTTAACAAGACCTATATAACAACAACACCAGTCAACATTCTATTACGGATGGGGGAACTGGGACGAATTCCACCCCTAGAAGAAGAGCTAGAGGCAAGTGATAGCTGCTAAGAGAGGGACGGTCTATTGTTTTGCAGGGATGAGCTCCCTGTTGGGTTACCCAATTCCAACTGGTCAGCCCTGTACATGTATAAACACGTGTATACATAAACAACACTAAGTAAATTTGACATATACATGTAAATATATGTTTATTTATTTATAGAAGGGGTGATTATGAATTTGAGAGGGAGTGTGGAGAGAGACAGAAGGCATTAGAGGGATGGAACAAATGCGTTTAAATAAAAACATTCAAAAAACAGTCTTCTGATTATGAAAAATAAACTCCAGCACAGGAATTGTTAAGATCACAGTGTGGTTCTTTCATCACAAAGAGACTGATGACATCACCATCCACAAAGACTGAAATAACCAAAACACTCCACATTTCAAAGACTGGAATAGTCAAAACTCAAAAGTATGGAATGACAAGCTAGCACATTGGATTAGCTTTCAAACACTTCAAACCATCTTCACTTTTAAGATTCTCCATCTGTCTTCTCCATGAATGTTAAGGGTCTGATGAAGAACCTGTATGGAATTATTTCGTGATCTGGGCAAAATCATTGGTAAGAGGTTATTCTTAATGTCAGCTGAACTGAGTGACAGCTAGCCGTTTTTTTTCTGTACACAGATAATTTCATTTGGAGTGATTAAACAGCATGATTTTGTAACTTTTTAAAAAAGACTTTACACTTGACATGATGGCATACACCTTCAATCCCAGGATTCATGAGGCAGAGAGAGGCAGGAGGATCTCTGAGTTCAAGGCATCCTTATCTACAAAGTGATTTGCTGGCCAGCCGGGGCTATGCAGTGAGACTCCATCTTTAAAGAGGAGGAACATTCTTATTGCATTTATTTGTGTATGTGTGTGGAGGGTATATGTATACATATATGGAGGTCAGAAGACAACATGGAAGGATCGGTTGTCTCCTTCCACCATGTGAGTAGTGGAACTGGAACTCAGGTCCAGGCCTTTTTGTTTGGTTTTGAGCTAGGATCTCACTGTGGATTCTAGACTGGCCTCAAAGCTTGCAGTGATATGCTTGCTCATCTCTGCCTCCATGAGCACTGGGGTTACAGGGATACCTTACATGCTTGGCGAGGTCTTGTAAACTGCAGGCTAAAATCCAAGGTGAATGTATGGTAACCTAAACTCTAATGTGGAGCCTCCAGGCAGCACTGGAAACCAATTTTATATTCAATTACTCTTGAGAAGAAGGGTAAGCTATAGGCTGCTATCAGTCCCAGTACTCTTCCTGCTGTAATCATCACAATACCAAACGACTAAAAAGACTTAACAATTTATAAGTCTATAGACTCAAAGTTGGAAAGTCTCATTATGCAGGTTTCAAGGGGAACACTAAGGTAAGAGATTAGGGGAGTTGTAAATGTCAGGGAAATACAGCACGGTGAGGACTCTGAGGAGAGATGAGGCCCACATAGGGGTCCCCCTTCCATGGACCATGGAAGTCCTAAGACATGTAGTTGGTGATGAGTAGCCCATAATATGTGGGTGTAGTCAGTTTGCCTCTGATTTCTGAGTGCACAGAGAAAGGAATAGCGTTGGTCTTTTGGTTGGGCCCATCATCCAGTATGTGCCACTTGCAGCACCTAATGGCTAAGTGTACTTGGTAAACTTCTTTTGATGAAGTGAAGAATTCAGACTCACGGTCACAGTATGGGTATCTTGTCATTCCATTACAGAAGCTGAGAGAGCGTAAAGCGAAAGAGGCTGCTGCAGGTGAGTGTGACCTGGGTAGCCCTTAGCCCAAACCTAATATAGGTGAGTATTTTCATAAATAGCTCTTTTGACTGATAGCCCACATTGTGATTTAGGCTGAGAGTAGACTTTTAACTTTTTTTCCCTCTGGTATAAAGCTCTTGTAGTTTAGAGAATACAGATGCATTGAGGCTGGATGAAAGCAGTTAATTAGTATCTAACTAAAAAAAAATGAGTATTCCCGCTGACACAACTGTGTTTTTATGTAGACAGACATCCAAGGAGCCACAGTGCTTTAACTGCAAGTCAGTGCACTAGGATGAAGCCACAGAGAAACAAGATTTTCCACAGCTTACTCTGTATACATGGGGTTCCCTATAGGTCATTCCCCACAGCTCACTCTGTATACACAGGGTTTCCCACTGTTCTGTATCTACTCTTTAGGTAGCACTATACTTATTCAACTTTTATCTTCTTTTTCCTTCAGGAAAAGAATGAGATACAAAATATTAATCTGGTTGCTATTACTTTTAATGTCTCTGTGTGCCCTGTATAGAGAATACCATTTCAGGTAACTGTGAAACTTAATGTTGTATTCTTATATGTGGTAAGAATCTGGTGAGTCAGAAAATTAACAGTATTGCCCCTTAAGTAAATCAGCATCCAGATGCATCAATCTGAACATAAAAGAATTATACCCAAGTAGGTCTGCATGAATAGAGCCCTCTGTCGCCATCCTTTGTTTCTAATTATATCAAAGATTTTTTTAAAAAATGCTAGAGATAGCCCTTAATCCCAGCACTCAGAAGGCAGAGATAGGCAGAGTTGGAGGCCAACCTGGTTGACAGAGTGAGTTCCAGGACAGCCAGGG